AATTTCCACAGTCACTTTAAACTAAACAACCTTTATAACACACGCTATAAATCGCAGTGATTCACACACTTTACTTACGGTTCCTACAGTTCGTTTGACTCAATTATCTATCTCTTCAATCTATATATATATATCTTCTTTATTTACCGGGCTTATATACTAAAAAGAAAAAAGAATGGCGTCCCGAACAAAGTAGGAAATTCACGATCATTCCAGAAACTCCTCGCACGCGCCAATGCGCCAGCAGCGTCATGTGACTTCCGCTGTCGTAACACTGCCCCTTCCCTAGTATTGTTCGTCCCGAATAATAGCCACTTACATTAAACCAATAGATAATTAACAACAACTTAATTAAATGTACAAAATTTACAAACACAAAATTAAAATACAACAAAGTCTCTTAATTTTACAAGACGTATCTTCTTCCGAACTGGTATCTGTCTCATTGGCTTCTGCTTTACGTGGGGTTCATCTGCTCCATCAAGAAATGTCCCATTATCGGTAACAGTCACATCAGTGGTAGTAACTTCATTAACGGCTGCACTGTTTCCCTTCTCAAAACCGGGTAGCGTTTCTTCTTCGATAGTGGCTTTTCTGGTGACACGTCTTCAGCAGCGTCATTTCTTCCATTGTTCACTTCGTCCTAACTAAATTGTACTGAACCATGATAACGCCAAAGCCTGTTGGCATGCACCACCTTTGGCTTGCCTCGCTGACCACATTTTATTCGAAAAGTCACGTCTGAGAGACGATCCACAATGTCATATGGGCCTTCCCATGGAGAAGATAGTGTTACGTCTCCGTTCGTTAGTTAATTTTCCATAAATTCGTTCCGACGAAACTTTAGCGACACAAGTCCTTTCTTAAATAAAACTGGTTTATTCTTTCTGAATATAATTTTGCGATACACTTAATTTCAACAATCGCGCTATAACAAACGTCTCACGTGCTCGAATTCAACAATACTCCATTCAGTTACACACTCTCTGACTGCAGTTCAATTACTCATTGCCTCTCTTGTCCCGTCACGTTGTGAACGTCTTATATATACAAGACTAACACATATCTAGTAAATGCTAGGGCATTCTTGAAAGAACAGGATATTTCTAGAAAGAGGTGGCGTGATACTAGTCACATGACCTCGCTGACGCAACAATATCTTCATGAAATCGGCAGAAGTTTTTAAGTTTGAACGCACTTGATGATGAATATCATCCATCCTTTCAGATAACACATTCACAAACTATAGCACATTTTCAAGCAACTCTTCGTAAGGTGGGCGTCCTGTTAACAGATCCACTGGCAACCGAAGTTCCTGACCAAACATCAGCTTTGCTAGAATGTATCCAGTGGCTTCATACTCTGCTTTTCTATAGGCCATCAACAGTGGAGGGAGTAAGTCATCCCAGTCATCTTGGTGGCTATTACAAACCTTCGCCAATTCCTGTCCCAGTGTCCAATTGTACTTTTCTACCATCCCATTAGACTGTGGGTGAAGTGGCGTTGTCCTGGTCTTTCGTATGTCAAACAACTTGCAGCATTCATGGAACACAGCTGATTCAAAGTTACGGCCTTGATCTGAATGCAGTTCGTATGGCATACCAAACCTGAAGAATAAATCACTAATAGCCGAAGCTACAGTTGTAGCTTCCTGATTTGGTATTGCATACGCCTCCAGCCACTTGGTGACATAATCCATCAGCACACAAATGTACCAGTTTCCAGCATGAGCTTGGGGCAAAGGACCAGCAATGTCAATGGCTACTATTTCCATTGGTGTGCCAACTTGATATACCTTCATTGGAGCACGTCCCTTGTGCTTTGGTCCCCTTTTATCACAACATGTATTGCAGGTCCTGCACCATTCTTCCACATTTTGCCTCATACCTATCCAGTAAAATCTCTGCTGTAGGTGACTCAATATCTTCTTAACGCCAAGATGTCCTACTATTAAACTATCATGGGATTGACACAACACAACTTCTTGTAACTTTCTTGGTATAACTGTTTGCCAGGTCGTCACTTTCTCATCTGTAGTTTCCCATCTCCGGAGAACAATACCATATTTAAGCTTCAACTGGTCCCATTGTGCCCAATAGTTCTTTGTCACAGTGCTTAAGATAGACACCTTCTCCCAAGCAGGGCACAAAACACTTGCTTGTAGAAAATCAGTTATTGCCTTTAAATCCTGATCTTTCTCCTGCTCTGCTTTAATATCAATTATATTGGTCTATCTTTCCGATCCAATGTGCCAGTTGTCCATCTGGGTTCTTCAATGATCTTAACCAGCGTAATGCAGCATGATCTGTCCTGATGGTAAATCTAGCCCCATAGAAGTAGATATGTCAGACTCTTTACTATAGCAAGGAGTTCCTTCTGTGCTACACAGTAGTTCCTCTCTGGTCTACCCAGGACCCTACTGAAGTAGACCACCACATGTTCGTTTTTACCCACTTTCTGAGACAACACTCCTCAAATTCTGACATTACTAGCATCACAATTGAGAATGTACGGCAGTGAGGGATTTGGAAGCTTTTAAAGTGGAGCCGAGGCCAAATTTTCTTTCAATGTCTTGAAAGCATGGTGGTAAGGAACTGTCCATTTCGAATTTTTGGCCTTCTTTTTTTGTTAAATCATGTAGTGGAGCAGCAATAGCTGCAAAATCCTTCACAAACTTCCGGTAATAGGTACAGAGTCCCAAGAAACTTTTTAACTCTCCCACATTGTCTGGTGTTGGCCAATCATGCACTGCTTTCACCTTGTCAGGATCAGTTTGCACACCATGCTCACTTACAATGTGACCTAAGTAAAGCACCTCTTTCTGGAACAAGTGGCATTTCTTGGGATGGAGTTTGAGGTTTGCTTTTTTTGCCAGTCTTATACATATACTAAAAATGAGGGCATCTAGATCACACTCGAGCAGACGGGCAAATTCATGATCATTCGAGAAACTCCAGCGTGCATGCTCCCAGCGTCGTCTCCGCTGTCATAACAGTATATATATATATGATAAAGTACTGATTTAATAAGATGTTGTTGTTATACATTTATTCATTCATTTAAAATATATATGTATGTGTTCTAATTACATCGTGAGGCTAAGATAAATTTTCTATTGAATACTTTCAAAATATATGTACCAATTAAATTACGTTGGAAAGTACAAAGCAAATTCTTGATGACCCTTGTCTTCCTCTGATTGACACACCAATCACTCGTGGCACAGTGATAGATGATAGTTTATTTCAGGAATAGTGAAGCAACTTAAAAATTTTCGAAGAAATTTTATAAATTGCTTCAGAGTTTTGGTAGTTGAAAATACAATAATAAAAACTTGAGGGTTTTTAGTATAAGCAAGTAGTCAAGGATATATATAAAAAGAAAAGAGGCGACAAGAGGACGCCTGTGTTACGAAATAAGCCTTGAGAATTGATAAACAGGAACTTGGTTATGTAAGGAGTATTGCCTTGAAACAAGCAACAAGACACCAAAATAAGCTTGAGAAGTGAGCTTGGAAACCAGTGACCAAGGCCAGCAGCAGAGTTAGTAAGAAATGTTGCATAGAAACAGGATGTAGCCACCAGTACATATGACAATTTGAAGATTTGTTGACTTCGCCCTCTTAGAACTAGGAAAGATACAGAAAAGTTTAGGTTTGGTGAATCATATCGGCACTTTGAGGTTGTATTAGTTACAGCACATAGGTGTAGCAGTACAAGTGAATAGGCGGCCGGCTAACACCACTTATCTATGACCAATTACTTGAGAGTTCTGGTTCTGGTTTAGCCTGGGAATTCCCCTAAAATATCCAATAGGAGCACGGGACTACTTGTGGATGATGCTGTGTCTTATTTAGTAGGTCGAAATAATACTGAGAAAAGATAGTTTAAAAACACATGTCAGAGGCTGAAAAGTTAAGTTTTTCGAGACTGGAAAGTTCTCCAGGGCTGAAGAAAAGTTCTCTCCAGAAGATCTCCAGCAAGATGAAAATGAAGATAACCAATGTAGCTAAGAGTTCTACTAAACCAGCTGTACTGTAAGTATAATCTCCCTCTCTTAATCAGCTAGTGTATAAATCATAGAATATAGTAAATGTGTGTAGGTAAAGTTT